TTCATCGGAAGCTCCCATCACATATAGAAGTGTATCCAACCCGTACACGAAATACTAGCAATTAATCCATATGGTCGCAAATGAGCAACATGGTTGATACTTAATTCGGTTTGATGTTGCCAAGACGATGAGTAGACTTACACGCATTGAAAGATTGATTAGTATCAAACGAAACACGCTCAGAGCGATAAAATGGACAGTTATATTACGATCTACGACGATTTGCGCACGTAGCGACTTGTATATGAAAAACCCATTCGATGCCAACCGTCACATGACTCATATCTCGCCGCTACCAATCTACCCAAATGCACTATCGTCCAAACGGATCAGGAATCCATTTTCCGAAAAAGTTGAACGGACTTGGTACTACCAGGAATATGTAAAAAGATGTGGAAAACAAATTTGCGATTGCAATTTACGTTTGAGATCAGCCAGTACTGCTATGACGACCCGTGCGGAGATGTGAATCAGGAAAAGCTATAGGAAACCGATGATCACCTAGTCTAGATGTACGGTACATCATTGAACGAACCGTGCTACCATTGAGGTTATGATGAAAATAGGCACTCATTACAGTTACTTGCTTTCTTAAGCTCGAAATGTGCCATCAAACCAGGAACCAGGTAGCGAACTGATCGCGGTGAAGCGATGAAAGGCCGTTGCGTGAACAGTGGAAAAATTAGCTATATAGTTAAGTGCAGCTTATAAGTCAGAATTTGTGAAAAGATTGGTGAAATCGATAAAAGCGAAGAAAACTCTGGCCGGATAGAACAAGTAAACTACTAACCCTTTTTTACACGTCATATAGTGGGATGGGTCACAAGAACCTGTGACGGAGCAGTTTTGCATGGTACCCGACAGACAAATCCGGGAAAGCTACGCCAAAGAATGCAATAAAACGCATTAACTTTGGTAAGGATTAATTTATAAAACCAATTCTAAATTTAAATTCCATTCTCCGTTACAAACTCTTAGGTTTGCTTCATATCATGTGAGAACTTACGCACAGTTCTATAAGGATAGTATGCGTAGCTGCGTTTGAGCCAATAATCTGGTTTCCTGGTGTTGAATGAAAGACATATCTCAGTTACACAAGCACACGTGCACAGATAGAACAATTGGATCAAGAAGACCACGGGACGGGTGATTTATTAGTAGTGATTCTATGCCATGATTTACAAGTACACGATCAGCATAAAAAATAAACACAAAGCAAGCAAGAGAAGGGAGCATAGGTTGGAGTAAATCACGTCATACACGAAGGAACCGAATATATAAAAACAGAAGTAGCAATAAAACAATTAGTGACTGAATGGACATGGACATGCGAATAAAGGCATATTAGGCAAGGCTTCGCGACAGAGATAAGGCAATGCTGCGCAAAAGTGAGCAGGTGAGGAGAGTGGGGAAAAGAGAATTGGAGATGGCAGACAGGACAGAAGAGGCAAACAAATTATACATGATCGGAAACAAAAGAGGACACAGGTAAACAGAAATGACGCGCGAATTGGCTGATTATCAAGAATACAACAGTTTGGACGAATCAGCTGTATCAAGTTAGTGCATGAGGTTGAAACTGTGAGTGAAAGTTATCGGAACTGATCGTGTGGTGAGAAAATGCGAAGAGATAGGTATGCGCAAAGTGAGCAAGTGAATAGTTTTGACCGTATCGTATAATCACTTCGCGTTAGATCGTAGATCACAACTCACGAGCCAAATATGCGACTGCATGGACAGGGCAGAGTGCGGAGGCCAAGCCAAAGTGAATTATAAAAGTTGTGGTTTCTTGTTTGGTACCATATCTGCGATTGATACTCACGTGAGCCACATACAGACGTACATACAAAGCTAAAATAAAGCTAATAAGATGCTCTCAACCACAAGCTCCCAGTCCCCACAGATAGCTTGAAGTGTGAAGAAAGCAATCATTGCGTGAAAAGATGTGGACGGAGCGACTGAAGTGGTCAGGCAGGGATGGTAAAGGAGTTGGCTTCGACCCTAAGTGCCAACTTGTTAATAGCCAGTCTCCTCGTAGGTCGGATTGATCACCTTCGTAGTAGGTGATTCAAAGATTGGATTCTCGGCCATTTCCCAGCGCATATTCTGACCTTGTTGTTCGAACTTGGCCAATTCACGTCGATCATCGATTGTGATCACAAGTTTGTAGATCAGAAGCAGAATGAGACCGCCAACCACAATCCCGGCAATAACACCGAGTACAATGTACAGTATGTTGATGGTTTCCACACATTCACTCTTGCGAATGATATTGAGATCCACCTGTAAATGACCAGAAAGTCAAAGTGTGGAGATTTAGTGGGGCGGGATCAGCGTGCAAACTTACTACTCTGGGACAAAGTATATTTATCCCTCACAATAATGCCCATAGAGCGAATACAACAGAGCTGGAAAGCATGGTACAGAGTTGCTAACTCCCACATTCGTCAAATACACAGACACTATGGCAGTATGTGGTTAACTAAAACACCATTATCGCCATTATTACGCACGTAGATCCTTCAGTATAAAAGAACTTCATTTCAAGGATGCGCCCCGAGTCTATCCTCAATCAAATACTACCCATAGGGTAACCAAGTGATCATGACTATCCCAATGGGCACCTATCACGATACCAACTCGACATATGTGATCGTTTACTGAAGGGAAACCGTTTGTCAGATGCAAACCTGACATACTTTCGGATCTCACAGGCCCGCAAAAACGTGTTCAGTGAAACAAGGCTAGTCTAAGTGATCCAATGTGCAGCATCCATTGTCCGGATTTATTCATTTTCTTCCTTAATCCGGGGAGTGATCAATGATCACAAATCTGAAACCAAATCAATATGATGAAAGAGAAGACATTTTTGTCAGACACGGTGTGCGTTTTTTTTGATAATTTTGTTTCTGGTTGGTCGGTTGATGTGTTTAAGTTAACTTTTACAGTATTCTCACCATTGTTTTAGATACTGAGTTATTTCAATAAGTTTTTGGTTCACGACATTCGTCCCCTACCGAGCAAAAATGGAGTGAACAACGTTGATAACCTAATGGAATTGAGTTACTAAAACTGATGAACTGCTACTGATCACTTTTCAAGTGATCAATCACGTGTAGGAGGCGAGTGACAGAGACAAGAAATACATGTAGCGCCTGAGGGCAATCGACCGCAATTGGTGTATGTGCGCTTGAAGTACTTTACAATACGCGCACTGTAGTGAGGCGCAAGGAACAAGTTACGAAACATACGATAGGATATTTTTTGTATGGAAGATATTCAGCCGAGCGATCACGATATACACGCAACTACCTAGGTCGTTCGGGTTTCCAGAAAAATCACAATCATGGTAAGTTTATAATTTCTTTGATTATTTTATCAAACAATGTTTCGTTTCGGTAACTTGATAGTACCACCAAAGTCAAGTACTTCCAGCCAACAAATATCTACTGTGAAACGGTGGTTTAGTAAGATACTGCAACTCACCTTACGATTCAGATAGATAGCATCCGAGTACCGGTAAGTGAAGAACACACGACAATTGTCATCAGTGTAGATAATGCACAGATTGGAGTCGTCCTTTTGCTCACTACTATCCACAAGCTTTACTCGACTGGTGTCGATTACAGTCCCGTTGCAAGCCGCGCTACAGGTCAGAGCTGCGGCTGCGTACTCAGGTGAGGCATACACGGACGAATCAACAATTATCAACTCATTTTCCCCTGATCCAGGCAACACGGTGGTGCGCCTTGCGGCCGGACTAGATGAGGGCGTAGTGCCGTCTGAAGAGCTTTGGGATTCTCGTTCGTCAAACGCTTTGACCAATGAGTCCCGGAGGCAGAGCACACACTTTTCCACATCTCGATCGGTGCACAAGGCAGATTCGCCACCTTGAATCTCGTTGCACAAATGGCCGGTGTAACCACTGTTACAGAAGCACTGACCACAATCACACACACCGTGTCCCGAACACTTTGGACCCTATGTAGGGACGGATATAAGAACGAATAATGCTTAGATTACGATGACTGTGGTCGGATAAATGTGACAATAGAAATGATGAAATCAATACTCAGAGTGGGAATAAGAGGTAAGCACAATAACGTTCGAGCTAACACACAAAGAGGCGGAAAAGTTTACAGTTTAAGCCAACGTCATGGGAAAATAACTCGGATGGATGCGCAAATTATATTGGAGTAAATGAAAAATCCAGAAGCCTCGGTAGGTTACCGTGAAAAGCCTTCAATCTTCTGGGCCAAACGAATTACTTTCATCTACTACACAGTCAAAAATCAGCATTTTGCTTGTCATGAATGCTTATTCTTTTCATCGATATACTGGAAAAAATTGTTTGCCATATATACACGACAAATCATTACGAGCTGTAACGTACCACTTCTTTTATTACACACACTTGTGTGAAAAACAGAAGACGGGGTGGATCCCAAGGACATGAAGACCTGTCGTTCGGTGATGGAAACCGGCAACCCAAGCCCCGAGACTTGGAGTGGCGAACCACATAAGTTGCTGCTAGGTGAGGTGTGCCGTTGAACCGGAGGACTGCAAAGCTACCTACCGCTGAAGTTGGGTGGCGATGGCGGGGCTCGAACATTGGGCCATAGGGTCCAAAGCATACTGGTGACAGTGACCAAACCACTGCGCCACCACCACCCATGAGCGATGCGGTAATGATCAATACGACTTTTTGGTAATGGTATACACGCACTTAACTCAGACCATTCACAATGAATTCGAATAGCAAAGTAAGGCAGAGACGATCAAACAAATGTGACCAATCACATAATGCGAACTTCTTTTACAGGACAACGGTGGTCATCAAATTAACCACCTGAAGTTCTTGGGTTCAAGCTAATCATCGCCGCCCATCTTCCCATTATTTGTATTTTCCCGGCAGCCTTGTAGGGCCGCGGCCTCTCTCCTGGAAATTTCTAGTGCATTTCTATAATCAAAAAACGAAAAAGAAGTAAAAAGGTTTATTTATTCATTTCGAAACGGTCAAATCCGCGAAAGCTTGAGAGAACTGGGGATTAAACTAAAAGTGTGATTTTGAATGCATTATATGAGCAGTTGTCCATCACCTTATTCCACCACAACGAGACTGCACCTTGACGTGGTGTGATGGCTTGCGTACCTCCATGACCCTGCGAGCTACACAGGATGGCTTTTCACAGCCGTAGATCCAATCATGCCTGTAAGGTCAACGGGTAGAGGCCAGACGAAGCTCAGTCTCACAAGCCAGCTGCTTGGGCGCCCCCTG